TATGTGTACACATATAAATGTGTATATATTTTTATTTTTATTATTCTTTTTTGTTAAATGGGGCAGATGTTATAAGATTCTTTCTTCTTCTGCTTCCTTTCATTTTGAGATTTGTGTTTTATTTTTTGTTGTTGTACTGAAATTTTTGTTTTTAATCGAAATGAATAAACTATTAAATTATAAACTATATAAGCTCATAAAAGCTTATTTATGAATCTAGCAAAGCAGAATTTCCAGCAGTGAAAACAATAAAATAATTTTAGCAGAACTTAGTATTTTTTTTTCTAGCAACAAGGCAGTGAGTCTAACCTTAGCGGATGGATACTTGTTAAAGACCCGGAACATGGCCAACTCGGCTGCAATGGTTTTCCCGGAGCCTGTTGGTGCCCCCAGCAAGACGTTGGTATCCGTGTGGTATAGAGTGTGAAAAATCTGTGTCTGGATGGGGTTGAAGTGCGTGAACTTAAACAGGCTCTCATATTCCAGGTTCCCCAGAGCCGTCACCGGTAATGGCTGTAGGTCCAGAAGTTCTGAAAGGGAAAGTGTTATGGGTGAAAGAGTTGGAGATGATCATTCAAAATTAATATCTGAAAGTATTTTAAAAAATGTAATGCGCTACAAACTTCTGGAAACATTTAAAATATAGTCTAAATCAGATAAAAATGTTTAAGATGTACAGTGCTCATGTATAATCAGAGACAAATAAAACAATAGAAAGAAACTTTAAATCATTCAGAAACATTTCCCATTTATTCTTAATTATGACGGAGGCAAGGCATTCAAAAAGTCATATTAATAGTTTTGCACGTCAAGACATCTTTAAATGAAACTGAATGTTAAAATGTTTGTTGCAAATGGCCAAAATAAGAACCTTTATGGTCAAAGATTTGTTTGAGATTTACATAAAGTTTATGTCTGAAGTTTATTCCGCTCATCATGGACATTGTTGTATAATTTTGAAGATTTTAATGATATATTTAAACTTTTCTTTTTTCCAAGGTGAAAGAATTATAAGACATTGTTTAGGATTTTTAAACCATGTTTGAATTTATTGTACATCTTCTCTGTAAGAACAAGCTCACAATTATACATAAGCAGAAATATCTACATAATTTAGCCTAAATGCAATAATAACTGGTACTGAAGGTTTTAGAAGGTGTTAAGTCCACAAGGCCAAGGCTTATTAACTTCTAGTTAGTGATCAGGATTGACTGAAGCTGTTAGTTTTTATTTCCAGCATAAAAAAATATTTAATTGAAAGCATTTATTGAATTGAACTCAATCAATGTTTCTTTAAATAAAACATATTGGTTTAGATGTTCAGGAATAACCTAGGAACAACCAAGGCAATGGCAAGAAATGGCAAGATGTGGACAATCGATTGTCCGATGAGACAAAATTGGGCTTTTTAGCCATATTGACAAAACGTTTGTTTAGAGGAATCAAGTTAGGGTAGCGGTGCACGACTGCTCTTCTTCTGAATAAATGAAAACTATGTAATACAGTTGTTTACACTTCAATTAAAAATATTTGACTAAAGAAAAACCGGAGCAGGACTAGCGAGAGATGAATATGATTTAGATTTTTATTTCTGTGACTGTATACTGTGGGCCCTACGACCCACAGGAGACACGCCAGTAACAGCAGTAGTTATTTTATTCCATTCTTTGGTTTTAGCGGGTCCTTTAATTCCACGACTGACGTTGCTAAAAAGGACAGATTTTCTTTTCTCGATCTTGGAGAGCAGGACTTTAATCTCCGAACTTGTAAAGTTCTTCTTTTTACTTTTCGCTGTCATTTTCATGAATGGACACTTTCTGATATCTGAGGCAGGAAACGTAGCCTTATATGGTGCTTTTGGGGTGGTAATTATGCTAATCTCCTCTCCYCGTGCACGAGCAGCTGGATACAAACAGGTGCAATTCATCATGTTTATGCAGCTCATTTACACACTTTTCCTGAAGATAGAAGAGTTTGTTGAAGCTGACGTGACATGTTCATATGAACCCTTCATACGAACAAAAGTAAGAGAAATTTAGGATAAGAATACGAACATGTTCTTGCATCAAGCTCGTTTCCGATTGGATAAAGCAAGCTAACATTAAGCTTCTAAATTTGCCTTCCTAGCGTTCTGACCTTAATCCAATTTAAAATTTGTGGACTGATTAAAAGTCATGTCCGTGCCAGGAAACCTACCCTTTTAAATTAACTCCATCAATTCTGCCAAGAAGAGTGGTCAAATGTCCAGCCAGAATTACAACAGAAGCTTGTTGATGGATACAAAATGCCTTTGGTTTGGTGTGTTTATCTTTACTAATGAAGGCTTTAAAGCAGCACGTTTCAACCACCATGTGCGTTACTCCATCCACATACAGTCATGAGTGCTGGATTTGGAAGATGAATACTTTTAAAAAGCTGGGTCATCTCCTCTTACAGTTGTATGTGTGTGACAGGAAATATACTGACCACAAGAGACTGTGAGATTAGTGTTGTTGCAAATATTCAAACCATGAAATCAAACTATTCCTTCCTTGATGGAATCCATATTGCTTGCCATCATTCATGCCAGAGTTTTAGACCAAGATCAACTTATGATGAAAAGGAACAGATTTACAATCAATTTGGTCAAAACTTGTAAATAATATGTTCGATCTATTTCATTATAGCAAGATGTCCTGCTCGGAGTAAGTGTTTCAAATGATTGAGCTACAACCAAATCAAGTATTTGCATAATATCTGTAAAATCAAGTTGGATAAGGTAAATTTGTGTGTCCTGATGCATCTCAAAAATCCAGGTGGAAAAATCTTAAAAAGAAGAACCTGTCCAGATGACCTCCCCAATATTTTTTGAATTACTGTGGCAGATACCTTGTACATGGCTCAATCTATACTAACAAGACAAGAATTCATGTTGCCAAACAATAGTCAGTTGTAAATGTGCATTCAATTATTTTCTAAATATTTCATGAAAACCTGTTCACTGATTCATGAAATATTTTGCTAAAAGTGCAGAAAAACACACACAAAGACTAGGACAAAAACAAAATCTTCCTTTTGCGATGGACAGCCAGAAGTAGACGTGTGTCTGAGTGTGCGTACCAGTGTGTGGGGGGTGCCTCTCAGGTAAAATCAGGTTCTGGAAGTTGATGATACAGACAGCCTCTGCCCCAAGCCAGCGGTCTGACACGGCCTTAATGTAGTACTGGGAGGGTAATGGCTCGAAGATGGGGATAGTGAATACAATGTGCTGAGGCTCTCCAGAAAGCACCTGAGTGAAGTTAAAAACAAGCATCAGTAATTATCCACAGTGAGGAACACTGTCCTGGGTTAGTTAGGGTCAAGAACTCAAACTAACCTGTTTCTTCTGCAGGAGGAAGTACTCAGAGTGGTAGATGTGGTCATTGATAGGGTCCTCCACCCACAACCACCATGGCTCACCCACTGATCCGTGGACCTAAACCAGGGAAGGATAAAGATTTTTTTTAAATTTTACAATCATTTCAGACAACACTTACAGTATAATTAGTAAAAAAATGTTTGACCCTGTCCTTGTTGTTCTATTAACATACAAATTTAAGTTCATACTTTGAAGGCATTCATATCAAGTGTAAACTGACTAAACTTTGATTTGATTGGCCACAGCTTTAAATCAACAACAGAAAATTTAATATTGCTTAACACGAACACAGTTTCCATAGAGAAATAGACGACAGTGCTTAATTTTCTTTCTACTTTACCTTTATGCACTACTTTTTGTTAGTCTATCACATGAAATCCTAATACGTTGAAGTTTGTCATTGTATAAAATGAGAAAAGGTTTTAAGGAATATGAAGACTTTTATAATGTACTGTATTACCAATAGCACATAATGGCCTTTTTGACAACCAGTTACTCAAAACACTGAACAACAACTTCCAGTTCAAACCATGACTTAAAAACGGAAGATATGTGACGGGTAATGGCACAGCCGTAAGAATGAGTCAGTGTGGTCCGTCTACCGGGTGCCATCAGGAAGGAGGGTTCATGTGTTGGGACATGTGTCCTGGATCTGCAGCCAGATCAGAACTAAGCCAGTCAGGGTTCCATTACCACTCTTCCCATGATTAAGGCATGCATTGCTAATCGAATGTAAACATACATCTTCATACTCAGCCTCTATACAATGGGCTTCTTGTTTCACTCAGGTTCCGGGACGAACTTTGGACTAAGCTTTCTGTGATCCTTTCTGGATCCATCTGCCTCTGAGGTGGGACATGTAGGCTCTCAAGCACAGAGATTCCACAGTGACCAAAATCCCAAGGTAGGAGGGGAAGCTCTTCTATTATGTGAAGTGAAAATGTGACAATGGCTGTACTGTTTGTGTAAATATGATCCGTGTAACTCAGGAGACAGGAGGACGACTAAATTTAGGCAGCTGTTGTCACATTTATCCTTCCACATTACACCGAACACTCTGTGTGTTTGAAATTACTGGAATGGTCAACCATAGCTCAGTCTATACTAACAAGACAAGAATTCATGCCGCCATCTTGGCAGGTACTTTGTATCATCCCTACTGTTAGTATGGCAGCAGACAATGGACATATAAGGAAAAAAACAGCCAAGAAACACAATCTTTGGCCATTACTTATCATATTTCTTTGGCTCAGTCATGCCCCAGGAACTATGGTTTGACCTGGGGGTGAGCTCCCCCACTCCAAGCTGGGTGATCCAATTTCTCTGTTACAGGCAAGGTTGCCTGTTAAACATGGTCTTCCTTCATCCGCAAGGTCTTTGAAAAAGGTGGAATGCTCCCTCTGGGTCAGGGGTGAGTCTTTGCCTCAAGTGGAGGAATGCCCTGTTGGGAGTCTTGTTCACAAGTGATGGTAGGATGAAGCAAGCAATGGACTGATGGATCTGGGCCTCTTCTGCAATGATGATGCTGTTGCTACAGGTTTTTTTTTTTGTGAAGAATGAGCTAAGTCAAAAGGAAAATATCTTGCCTTACTGATCTTTCTATGGTCAAACACTGTCCGTGAGGGATGAATCATAACTGAAAGAAATCCCAGATTCATGCAGCTGAACAGTGCTTCCTCCATAGGGTGGCTTGGTCCATCCTTAGAGATAAAGCAAGGAGCTCCATCTTCTCGGAAGAGCTTGTAGAGAAGGAGAGGAGCTTCTCCTCACCAATGAAAGGAAGCAGTTGAGGTTGTTTGGCAACCTGATTAAGATGCCTTCTGGTTTTTCAGCACATGTTCCATTGGGAGAGACCCCAGTGAAGACCAGAACTCGCTGGAGAGATTATATATCCTGTCTGGTCTGAGAATGCCTTGGGATCATCGCTTACCTGGTCATTCCAGGAAAAATCAGGTGTGACGACAAGACGAACTCGTAAGACAGTGCGTGTGATTGGTTGGATGCTAGCCTCCATTGTGATTGAAGGAATCTGGTGTGCACACTGTTTGACAGTCAGTCCAATGTTAACGTGATGCAGCATGTGACCTAAAGAAAGAAAGAGAGAGAATACAATTTTTGATAACAGATATACAGATACAACTTTACTGATTCCCTGTGGAAAACTGTTTTTCTCACAGCAGCAGATGCAATGGCTCATTATTGTCACTATGGTAACTACACATTTGTCTGTCACTCCCTGACTGCCATGTCAATGAGAGGCAGACAGAAACACGAATTGAAAGTAAGTCTCAAACAATTGCTGAGTGAAAATAATAAGTCATTGTGCTTTATTTGGGGAAAAAACAACCCCTCCACTTTGACTGAGTGAATGAAAACCTTGACATGCTTAAATAAAAAACTGCTAGTTTTATTTTATTAAAACACATTTTTGAAACTTTAAAGTACCTAAATATTGTGGCCTGTAAGGCAAGTAATTAATTTTTGTCACTGCCAATCAATGATCCCCAACAATAACCATAAACCTTTTATAACTGTGGACAATGTTCATCTAATTAGACAAAGAATCCTGCCACAATGATCTGATGTGTGATTAATTAAATCTTAGGGGAAGATAGTTCTCACAGTTACGTTCTTATTTATTAAACTGCTTTGATTTATTTTTGTATTGTTCCCCCTCTTGATGTAATTACCTATAGTTTGGTCTCCTTTTTGTTCCAAGTGTGGTCTATTTTATCCTTTACCCCTTATTACTTTCTTAATATCCTTTAAGTGCTTGTTCTTTTCCATCTGGTTGTTTCTTGGGTTTTGGTGTGGTCAGCAAAGTAAGAATTTCATTGCTCAGGGAAACAGGTTTCATCTGTGTATATGACAACAAACACTTGGAATCTTGAATTTTTGAACCTTGAATCTTATTTTGCAGTTTTGGCTGTTTGGCCGTGGGTGTAAGGAGCTGTAAACTAATTAAACCATCATTACATAGCGTAAACTAACATAAACTTGCCAAGGGACAGACATATGGAAACTAGCCTTGGGGTTGATATCTGGCATATTTATAATTACTGTGTATTTTTCAGTAATGCAGTAAAAACTGTCCCTGTTTTAAACAAATCAATAATTTATGGGAGAGTTAACATGCTTAAATCTTGTTTAAATCTTTACCTTTAGTGAAATTTTTTTGCAAAACTGACTAAGTGCTTTCTGAGAGTTCCATTACAACTTGTCCAGTGATTTAGGAAATATTTTGCTATAAACAAATGAGCAACCACACGCACAAGTAACTATAATTATAAAGGACCTGGAAATGTCTCCATACTACTTAATATTTAAAGAAAAGAAAATTTTAATTTTTTTTAGCCAGTGCTTTTTCATCCTGCCGCACAGAGACAGTAACTTGTTTTACGGAAGGATTTGTCCCCCTCCCCAGTCCCCACAGTGGAACAGACTGTTTTTCTTTTTACCAATCTCGTCTTTCCTCATCTCCTTCAGTTTGTCCACAGTGAGCCTCTTCTCCTCCAGGCGACCCAGGACCACGTGGCTCAGTTGAGGGAACTGGCGGAGAGGGTGGGCGAATCCCCACAGCCTCTTGTCGATCACCTTACACAGGGTGAGCAGTCGGTAGGTCATGGCAGGCCAGCGCTTCCTCAGAGCGACTTCAAACAGAGCCCGCATAATCCGAGCAGCATTCTGGGGGAGGGGGGGGGCAACATCAGGAGAAAAACAAGTTAAATCAATAACAACTTCACAACCACACAGACTTTATTTGAACCTGTGGACATGATCATTAATTTTAGTTTTATCTGCCTCTAAAACGTCTGTGTCTGTATGCTAACAAAACATCTCATGCTCTACCGGACAAACTTTAATTAAACTTCTGAATAAGTAATCCTTGAATGTACAACTTATTAAGTTTTAGAGTCCACCTAGTAGTTTAAGATGACCATCATCGGCAACTAAATTTGGAAAACATAAAAATGGCTAAGTCAATCAATTTCACAGATATTGTGCTAATATTGGTGTAGTTGTAACAGTTATTCACAACACATACTCCAAGTGCTACTCATTGCACAAGATCTTTGCTTAAAATTAATTATTGAATGTACTGTATGTGCCATAGATTTGTAGTCCTGAGGCTGCAGGTTTGAGCCCAGGCTGCTTCAGGAAAGGGATCAGGCATAAAAAAAATTGCAAAGTCTTTTCTGCGAATGGGAGCTGCTGAAAGAAAATAACAAAACAAGACTGAATGTACGTCTACAACTGATTAATCCTTGAAGTCAGCTTAGTTCAAAATGGCTGTTATAGACATTTAGAAAACACAAAAATCTCTATACAAAGGGCTAATGAGCTAACATTTGATGTGGTAGTAACTGAGTCATTTACAACACAAACTCCGAGGGTGAAATTTATTTGCCCTAATGGATTACTGAGATTAATATGATTGGGCATAATGTTGTTTTCAAGGTTTGACCTAAAAAGCTCCAACTGTCCCCTGTCAGATGTGTAAAGTAACAAAATACAAATACTTTGTTGCTTACTTAAGTAGAAGTTTTGGTTATACTTCACCAGAGTATTATTTTTTACTTCTCCTGTTTACCTTTTAAAGCCTCATGACTTCTACTTCATTTTGGCTTATTTTTGCTCAAAAAACTATCCAAATATGGCACCTACCAGATATAGTGAATTTAATTGTGGATGTGTCAGAAGGACAAATATACAGACACTAGCAGTTATCATCACACCTGCACATGACACAAATCACATCAAGCCTCAGCAAGGACATAGCAGACATACATGTAGCCTCTTATGTTGATGACCATGGCAGAGATATATATGTAAATGAAACAGCTTTGGCCTGAAATTTTCAACATTAACATTTTAATACAACTTTATAGTCAATATGGCCTTTAGCAAAAAAGTATTTTAGGGAGGTTGCTTCCTAATAAATACAATTGTGGAAATTCTAACTGCTTACTTTTGCTAACTTTACTTTTAATACTTAAGTACATTTTATATCAACACTTTAAGTAAACTATGAAACGGATGCCACATGCTGTCCAATTCAAATAATGTTTTGAATTTACTGTTTTTTGGAGATCATTGTGATCTACTACCACCTTAAATTAGAGACACACATATGTGTAAAAATGGCTGAGTTATGATCAATTTTACATTTTAGATATGGCAGCCATCTTGGATTTTTATTTAGTATTCATAATTTGTCAAAGCTTGTTCTTGGCTACTAGAATACCAGTTTCCAGCTCTGTAATTAGCCGTTTTTAAAATTAGCATGCAGTTAGCTTAAACTTCTGATTAGCATTTATAATGTTTTGAGTTAACTCTCAGCTGCCACCCCACCAAATTTCAGCTTAGTTTGTCTTAAAATGTCATCAGATACTTTAAGAAAAATCTGGCATGTCTCTCTCCTTTTCTCTTACGATAAAGGAGACTTTAACTTTTACCAAAGTAATTTTATGTTTAGAAACTTTAAATGTTTTAGATACTCAAATATTACTTTGAGGTACCTTTTACAAGACTGCCCTTTGTTAACAAGCTGATCTTAGTCTAAAATTGTGAAATGAAAGAGGGCAGTTAATATACACTCCTTCAAGGAAAGCTAAGCTTTTAATTCAGGGCAACAACATTGTATCTTACAATCAGATTCCAACCTGTGATGCATGTTTAATGTAGAGCAGAATTAGGCCATAGCAGCTGCTGGGTGCATCATTCTGCTTTCAGGTAATTAATCATGCTGCAATCAGGAGAAAGTCTGCTTCGGTTCAGACATGCAGGTTGGTTCCAGCTGTGCTCTGATGGATTACTCATCAGATGGCAGCACTTACTGAAGACCACTCAGGTCAGGTTGTGACTGATCTGCTCAGCTGTCTATGTGATCAGAGTGTCTGCAGAATGCATCCGTGGAGGAGGAAAACTGAAATCTGAAGCCTGAAGTGAATGTCGATTAAAGAAACCCTAAAAAAATGATCCTGTTCATCTGTTACACTCTACTGATGCTGAACTGAGTCCCAGTCTTTAGCTAATACTACGGCGGTTAAAGGTTTTATCAACAAACATCAAGAAACACCTTTATAAAAATTTACAACAAACATCACTTTATTTACATCAAAGTTTCTACTGTAAAACAACTGCTATGCAAAGTCATGCATCTAAGGGCTGTACAGTGCAGCGGTGTTTAGAACTGTCTCACAGCAGGAAGGAAGGTTTGAATATCACCTGTGGCCCAATGGCGCCATCAAGAGGAGCGTGTTGGTGGCTCTGCTGCACACCCACTGAGCACAAATACTACATTTTCGCAGTATTAAAAAAGGGTAAAAAATAAAACTATTTTTTTTCTATTTGAACTTTATTTTCCCCCTGAAATCCCATAATTTAGTTGCTTATTTAAAAACAAAAATGTAATTACTGACTACTGCCTCTTAAATACTGCTTAAAATGATCATTTTAGAGACATAAAAGTATATAATTACAAAATAAAATATTTATTTATAGTTATTTTATTTGAATGCACAGGTGTTGAATAAATAAGAACACAGAGGACGTGAATATTAAAACGCAGTGTTAGTCAAAACATGAGAGTCAACAGGCTTTTTAATTTTTTGTGTTAAAACTTATTTATTTGTAGCATTAAGCATGTCATCTCTGTAATAATATTTACATCAAGAAAAACTTTTGTCTCACCTTAAACATAAATCTGTCTCTGTCCAGTACCCCAAAACTGAGCACTGAGTACTGTTTATGATTATTTTATCATCATTTTGGAACATACTGCACAAACAACTCCATTACTGGTGAGAAACAGGCAGACTGAAAAAAAGGAAACTTTTTTTTTAACTACCAAGGCATTTATGTTCTCACAGATCTGCCTAGTGCTACAAGATTTTAAATAAACTTTGAGTTGTCAAATAAAAAGAAATAAAAAATCCTGCTATCATCTTTGTCAGTCCATGTGCTGCTTTTGTGTGTTAAATTGAAACACATTTAAAAATCTAATTTACTAAAACCAAGGTTTTTGAAGAACCCATTCAGCCTTGTTCTGTCCTGAATGCCATTAAGAAGCAGCTGTTAAACTGCAGTGAGAAATACTGATAAAAAAAAAACAAACTAAAAAAGTCAAGTTGATTATAATCGTTTGTATTTTGTATGTATCTTTTTATATTTGATCTGACTGTGGTTAGATGCTTGTTAAAGTGACTATTAGGTTTAATTTGTTAGTACTGATGTACATCAGTGAACATATTCATCCCTCTGTTTTCATTACTCGCTTTTTTCCTATGTGGGGTCAAGAGAGCTGGTGCTTATCCCTATAAGTCACTGTGCGAGGGGTGGGCTACAGTCTGGACATGTCACAAGTTCATCGGGCCGCATACAAACAAATGAGACAGACAACCATTTAAACTCTCACTTATAAGTAGGGATGATTTAGAGTTATCATTTAACCTAACCATGTTTTCAATCTGTTGAAGGAAACTGGAGGACCCACATTTTCATGAGAACAAGCAAAATTCACAGCCGAGCAGTAAACAAACCTGCAAACTTTAACCACTGTGTTGCCGTGCCAAAGAGAATATTAATTTATTAACATAATTGCTTCCATTAATGGAGTGATTTGCATTTGACGTAACAGGACACTCACCTGGGCCACATACGACAGGTCGGAGATGAGCGAGAAGCTATCCACCTCTCCTCGACCAATGTACGTCTGCAGTAAGATGTTAACTTTGCCGTAACCATTTTCCACCCCGCCGGCAGCTGGCAGCTCGCAGTAGTTACAAAGCAACTGGTCCAGTTCCTCCAACTCCTCATCACGAACCTGACAACACATTCTGTTTTTACTGCCGCTTCAAGATTTAATGTTACAATTAAAAAAATAAATTAAATTACATTTAAAGTTTGTTAAACCTTTGTTAAGTTGGTAAAATCAGTGCTGGTCAAAAAAATCTAACTCAAATCAAAATCATTTAGAGTTTATTGATCTCTTACCTTGAGCTGTTCAAACTCTTCAGCCTTGGACACGATGCTAAGAATGTCAGCTTCAGTCCTTTGAGAGTTGAAAAGTTCGTTGAATGTCTTTACACAGAGGAAATATAAGTAATTAGAGTTTGATCTGATGTCTATGGTCAGAAAAGAATAAGACAAACAGATTTCTGACATGCTTTTGATTGCAGGGCACTAAAAAAAATGGATCCATGATGGCTCCAGATCAGTCATCCCTTTGCAGTTTTGGTCAAATGGTACTCATATATTGAGAAAAGAAAAGACAATCTTCTATTGGTCACTATGTACCCGCCTCAGCCTGCTTTGTACCCACTTTTTGTTTATTATGTACCCAACTTATCACCACTTCATACCTACCATGGCTGCTGCCACTTTGGTTATAATTTTACTTATAGAACACCTTAAATATGAAGTTAAGCCTGGCACATATCCTGTTAGTACCAGAAAGTACCCAGTGCATACCTGGTACATACCAGTTATGTACCCTGTAAAAATCACATAAAGTAAAAATGTGGTACTTACAGAGTATGCTACCAGGTGTCAGGTTTGCGAGAAGTCAAAAGTGAACAGGTCTGGAGCGAAACAGACTCGGGAGACCAGATACAAAAGGTAAGTGATTTTATTTACAGTGCGGGTCGGGGTGTGAACTGGAGAAGCTGCAAAGGAAGGACAGCCGGTGAGTATTTGTTTGATGGGAGAAGAGATCTTGCAATAATGATAAGGATCTATTTTCTTACAGGTCGATGAGGGAGGAGCGGCACAGAGGAGANACCTGCGTCACGGCAAGACGCACTTTCTGTGGCAGGATGAACTCATCATTGTCACAGGTCTGTTCCTTCTCGTAGATACGAGAGAGGGAGTCCGGCTTGACATTCTTGCTACCAGGTCTGTAGGACAGAGAGAAGTTAAACCTTCCAAAAAATAGTGCCCACCTGGCTTGACGGGGGTTGAGCCTCTTGGCAGAGCGAAGGTATTCCAGGTTCTTATGGTCGGTGAGTACAATGAATGGGAGATTGGCCCCCTCCAACCAGTGCCGCTATTCCTCCAGAGCAGACTTGATGGCCAAAAGTTCACGATTGCCCACATCGTAGTTTCGTTCTGCTGGGGAGAGGGACTTAGAAAAGAAAGCACATGGGTCTACCTTATCGTCGTCAAAACGTTGACTCAGGACAGCTCCAAGACCGGTGTCTGATGCGTCCACCTCTACGATGAACTGTCTCTCTACGTCAGGGAACTTAAGGATAGGGGCAGAGGTAAACAGAGACTTCAGTTTGTGAAAGGCTTGGTTTGCTTGGTCGTTCCATACAAAGGAGTTYTTACTTGAGGTCAGAGAATGTAAAGGTGAGGCCACAGAGCTATAATTGCGGACAAATTTCCGGTAGAAGTTTGCAAAACCCAAAAACCTTTGCAGTTGCTTACGTGACTGTGGTATAGGCCAATCCAACACGGCAGAGACCTTGGAGGGGTCCATGGAGATCTGGTCAGGAGAGATGTTGAAACCTAGGAAAGTGGTACTGGTGGTATGAAATTCACATTTTTCTGCTTTAACATAGAGGTTATTTTGGAGTCTGAGAAGGACGGCGTGAACATGACGGATGTGGGACTCAAGATCTTTAGAAAAAATAAGGATGTCATCAAGGTAAACAAAAACATTGATGTTGATAAAGTCTCTGAGGACATCATTAACAAGAGCTTGGAACACAGCAGGGGCATTGGTAAGACCAAAGGGCATTACCAGGTACTCGTAGTGGCCTGAGGGGGTGTTAAAGGCTGTTTTCCATTCGTCACCCTCACGGATTCTTACAAGGTGGTATGCATTGCGGAGATCGAGTTTAGTAAAAATCTTGGCTCCCGAAATAAGATCAAAAGCGGAGGTCATGAGCGGTAGTGGGTATTTGTTTTTAATCGTTATGTCGTTTAAACCCCTATAATCAATACATGGCCTGAGTGAATCATCCTTCTTACCCACGAAAAAGAACCCAGCACCTGCAGGTGAGGAAGAAGGACGAATAATACCGGATTTGAGGGATTCAGAGATGTACTTATGCATGGCCTCACTTTCAGGTTTAGCTAGAGGATAGAGGCGACCTCTAGGGGGAGAAGTACCTGGCAGGAGGTCAATGGCGCAATCATAGGGACGATGCTGTGGTAACGAGGTAGCTTTAGCTTTATTAAATACTTGAGACAAGTCGTGATATTCATGAGGAACATTAGAC